TTTACTTTCTCGCGTTAATTACTGGGGAGGACTTCCGTAACGAGGGCGAGGGACCACTCTGAACTCTATGAATATCAATGGCCGTCAAAATCATTACGGAAGGTCTAAACTTTAGACTAAAGCCAGTGTATGTTACAAGACTTAGATCTAGATTTAGATCTAGATCTAATCTAGATCTAGATCTACCTACAAATGATGAAATTGCTGTGGTTTACGGATTCTTAATCCTAACGCAAAGTTTTGAATATCCAGTCGGGGAAGCATAGAGTCTTGTCTAGATAAAGACTAGAATCTAGATCTAGATCTAGATCTAGATCTATACTAATCTAGATCTAGATATCTAGATCTAGACTCTAGATCTAGATCTAGATCTAGTCTAGAATAAATAAAATCTAGATATAGAATCTAGATCTAGATAACCTAGATCTAGATCTAGATCTAGATCTAGATCTAGATCTAGACTCTAGATTCTAAATAACAGTCTAGATAAGAATCTAGTCTAGGTCCGGGCTTGGATGTGGACCTGATCTGAGATTTGAATCCATATAGATCTAGAGTCTAGATCTAAATCTAGATCTAGATCTAGATCTAGAATCTAGATTACATCAAGATCTACATCTAGACTAGATCTACATCTAGACTCTAGATCTAGATTCTATTTAGATCTAGATGTAGATCTATCTGGATATTCTAGATCTAGATCTAGATTCTAGATCATTAGATCTAGATTTCTAGATGGTTAGATAGGCCTAGATCTAGATTTTTTCTATCTAGTCTAGATTCTAGATCTAAATATTATACTAGATACCTAGATCTAGGAGATCTAGATCTAGATCTAGATCTGAGTCCAGATCTAAATTCTAGATCTAGACTTGATTTAGATTCTTGATCTAAAACTAATCTAGAATCCAGATTCCTAGATCTAGATTTAAAACAGTGGAATCCTGATATAACAGGGATGGTGGGACCAGAGGAAATATCCTGTTATATCAGATCCCTGTTAAATCAGAAATTAAAGGGAAATAAGCATTTGTGGATTAATCCAGCTGCATTTATTCATGGGTAGTTTCCCTTGCCACAAGTACCAATGAACAGTGGTTTTGGCCATGTTGCAGTCTTGCACATGACACATTACACGTGCGTGTAGAGCCTTAGACCTAGATCGAAGTCTGCAGCACACCGCAGCCCTCTCTTGCTTCACCCGCTGCGTGTGATTGCTGTGGCGTGGCTTGTGTGGGCTTGCTCCATCACTGCGTTTCTCTCTCTCTCTCTTTTTTACACATTGTTAACGAGCCTTTGTCCCTGCTATAACTGATTAGGCTCTGATGAGGTCCTGTTATTGCCGTTAACTTCTAATAGAGACGAAGAGTAGGAAATTAAAAAATCCTTTAGTTATTACCGGATCCCTGTTATTACCAGGCCTGTTATATTATATATGGTTTCCACTGTAATTATTTTAGGTATTGTATGGCGACACTGCGGACAAGCAATAGTGCTTAGACCGAGTTGCACCATCTTGTTATTGTTATCCAAGCGTCTTTTGACTTACTTGCTCAAACTCAAATGATTATATGAGAGTTGAGCAAGACTACTTTTTTGTGCAAACAATGTCGGCAGGAGCTATTTGCAACGCCGCGTTCTGAATAGCTGCCATGCTATTTGAAACTCCGTGTTCTCAATAGCACCTATTTGAAACGCCAGTGCTAGTATAGTCTAGATCTAGTAGCCATCGTTTCTACATAATAATGATTAATATTGTAGTTTTGCCTGAATTGTGGGAGCTTTCTCAGTTTTTTTTATAAACGTCCTAGGATTTGACTCTCTTTTTATGACGTTGTCTTTTTCCGATCAATGTTGGGTAGATCTAGATCTAACAATTGTTTCTGACACTGACATTGTTTGCACAAAAGTAGTCTTGTTCATAATCTCTCTTTATCAAAATCATTTGAGTTTGAGCAAGCAAGTCGAAAGAAACTTGGATAACAGAAAGAGGACGCTGAAACTCGCCATTGGTTCTAATTACTATTTCCTGTCCGCAGTGTCGTCATACAATAGGCCCTACCTAAAAATAATTATTAGATCTAGATCTATCTCTGCGTGCACTTTATATTTTGCCCTCACACATGACGTCGCCTGATCTAGATTTCTAGGTTTTGGCTTTTGAATTAGGGGGTAGTGTCTACGTACATTCTCTAATGTTATTTCTAGAGAACGTATACAAACTGTCTACGTTCTCTAATGTTCAGTGTTTCCAAGCATGGCATCGAATTTTTTTTCTTTCGAACTCCTGAGCCTAAAATTATTTTTTAAAAATAATTAGACTAATTATTTAAAAAAAATAATTTTTGGCTCAGGAGAAGGTAAAAAAACTTTTCGGGACCGGGATTCGATGCCATGCTTGGAAGCACCTGAACATTGGAGAACATAGGCCAAGACAGCTTGTAGCATAGTATACGTTCTCTGGGCCTAACGTTAGAGAATGTAGATCTTCCCCCTGCTAATTTAAAAGCCGAAGCCTAGGCTTAGAAATCTAGATCAGGCAACGTCATGTGTGATGGCAAAATATAAAGTGTACGTAGAGATAGAGATCTAGATTTAATAATTATGTTTAGGAAGTGCCTATTTGCAACGCCACGTTACGATTAGCGGCAGTGCTAAATAAAACGCTGTATGTTATATGAAGCTTAATCTACCTCTCGTTGTTGGAAGTTCTGATGGCCGAAGGGACAGCACTTCTGCGTTTGAAGCCAGACCATTATTTTATGAGCGTTGGTTCGAATCCCGGTCCTGGAAGTTTTTTTTTGGTCCTCTTCTCGACTGACCAACAAATTTTTCCCATAGAGTTATAACTTGTTGCTTTGTTGTTTTTATTTTTTAAAAAAATTTTAGGCTCAGGAGAGGAAAAAAAAACCTTGCGGGACCGGGATTCGATGCCATGCTTGACATCGGAAACACTCTATACAGCGACAAAGCACAGCTGATTAAAACCTGTCAATTCTTTGCCATATCTACAGACCGAAGGGATAGAACCCAAATGGCCGCTGGATCGGAAAAGTAAAGTAAAGTAAGATGCCATGCTTGGAAGCACTGAACATTAGACTTAAAACGTTGACAGCTTCTGCTTGTACGTTCTCTAGGCCTAACTTAAAGATAATATTTTTAGGTAGATCTAGAATGTATGACAACACTGCAGACAGGAAATATTGCTTATACCGGGTTGCACAGTCTTGTCATGTTATCCAAGCGTTTTTTTGACTTAATTGCTCAAACTCAAATGATTATGATTATGAGAGATGAACAAGACTACGTCTAGATTCACCTAGAGTCTAGTCTACTTTTGTGCAAACAATGTCAGAAACAATTATTAGATCTAATCGGAGACAAAAAAGTAGAGACGCATCACTCCTCGATTTAGGCGAGATTGGGGTCAGGCATCTGGTGAAAGTTTCATGCCGTACAACTAATAGTCTGTTCCTCATAACTGAGGAATCACCTTATTGTTTTCATAGTAAATTAAGCAAAGGGGTTTGTCTGAATGGGTTTTAAACACCATTTCTGTTTCTTTACCGTCACGTCATACCCACATCCACACATGAAAGGTAGAGTCAGAACATTCTTTTCTAGTAATTCTAGTCAATATTTTGATTAAAATTTCAAAACATACCTTACTGCATGTTTTCTCTCGGTCAGTATAATTATTGACCTGTCTCGGTCAAGTCCGCACTCCTTCTCCTTCTCCTTCTCCTTCTCCTTCTCCTTCTCCTTCTCCTTCTCCTTCTCCTTCTTCTCCTTCTCCTTCTTCTCCTCCTCCTCCTCCTCCTCCTCCTCCTCCTCCTCCTCCTCCTCCTCCTCCTCCTCCTTTCCCCTCAAGCACCTATGGTCCTTATCTCTCCTCCTCCTTTTTTATGTATGTAACTCTCTTGTAACACATCTATTCTTCGGCTCTTATATGACCTTATTGTTGCAACGCAGCAAGCGCCGTAAAACTCTTACTAAAACTTTAAAAAACCCTCTGCTTTCTCTTCCTTCACTGGAGCATAAATTTGATGAATTGATTAATTATGCGCACATTTATTGACCAACTTCACCACATACCACTACTTCCGACGTATTGACTGAGATGACTCCTCGCTCGTCCTTCTGTCCCTGGTATTAACTATAGGAAAGAACAAGGGGAAGTGACTTTGAGAGGAACAGACTATGAAATGTACGACGTGACATAGTTTCGAGGCACTGCGTCACCGATCTCGCGTAAATAACATGATGCGAAGAGGGGCCAGCTGACGAGTGAAATATCTCTCACTAGTCATCTCCGATCTAATCCAGATCTAGATCTACCCAATATTGATCGGAATAAGACGTCATAAAAAAAATCCTAGGAGGTTTATCAAGAAACTAGGCTGAGAAAGCTTCCACAATTCAGGCAGAACTACAATATTATTATGTAGAAACGATGACTTCTTCTAGGTCTAGATCCCTAGTACTTGCGTTTCAAATAGCATGGGAGCTATTCAGAACACATGCGGATAACTTTAGAACGACAGATTACGCCGTTGGCCGATATTTATAGTAACAGCCATCTTGTTTGACATCATTGAGGGATTTCCAATTTATTGTCGTTCACGGTGGCAACACGACCGCAAAACACTGTTGCAGTATTTTTAAAGCCTGTAGCCTACAGTGGCGTCATTGTGGCGGAGTGGTCAGTGCGCTTGTCTCCAAAGCAGAAAGTCCAGGTTCGAGCCTCGGTTGGGCCACTGACAGTCCTATTGTCAGTGAGTAAGGCCTATAATGATATAGATCTCATTCTGCTTGGAAACAAAATGTCTCCACAATCAGGTACAGCAGCATTCTGATGGTTTTCATAAAGGAAGTGGTTATAACCCATGTCTCGCTATTCTCACCAATCTCACCCCCTAGTTTTACCGGAGGGATCAGGGCTGAGGTTGCGGGCACGACCCGGGGGGGTCAGGGCCGGTGCTGCACAGCATCATATTCGTCTCTGTTCGTGTCCGAATAGTCACAGTCAGGGTTGTCAGTTTGGAGCCAAATCTCGGAAATTTTGGTCTTTCGGATCATGTTTGGCCTGGAAAATTTCTTTTGGCTCTCTGGCTCTTTTTTGGCTCCACACTCCAAATGTTCAAGAAGAAGTGGAAAAAGTAGGCAAGAAAAAAAGAAAAGAAAAAGAAAGAATAAAAGAAAAAAAATGAAAGTGAAGAAAAGAGCTTCCACGCTCTCTGTTCCTTGAACCATGATTTATTGTGTGCAGGCAGAGATTGATCTTATTGCAATTTGAGATACAAATGCATGCGTTCTATTGAATGTGGACAGAAGCCTTTTCTTTGTAGGGGGGGGGGGGAATATAGAATGGACATGATGCAGAATATTTTATTTTAAAAATGTCTCTCGAATTTTGATAGCATTTGGTGCAGGATAAGAATTATAATGTAGCCTAGTTCTTTGGTAAAAATTTAAATTTAAACCTGGCCATATGATCTGGGTTTACATAGAAAAAAAATTGACATCAGTCTTTGTTTTCAGGTTTATTAGACTTTGGCGAGTAGTATCACCCGAGGTTTTCTAGATCTATCTGGAGTCATTATCAGTCTGTGTACTTAAATAATATAGTTGGAGCTAGTTGTAGAATGTCAACCTAGATCTAGTTTTTAGACCTAGAAAAAAAAAATGCCTGACCTACAATTTTGGACCTTGGTTTTAGAGATAAGCTAAACTACTTTCTTCTTCTTCTTCCTCGTTCTCAATGACAGCAGCTAGACAGTCTGTCCGTTGTGCAGTTCGCTTCAACTCTGAGAGACTGCCATAGAGCTTTCTCTCAAGGGGAGCCACATTCTGCCACATCTGTGTAGAAAGGGTGGTGTAGCGCGGGCAGTGCTGAAGGATATGGTTGGCATCCTCTTGGTCGTCACAGATCGCTGACTCTCCCACAGTTAATTTGCTGTAGAATTTGTGATTGTTCAACGAAATATTTAACATAAATTTTTACCAAGTCTTTAGAACTGGGAAATGAGATACTTGACCTCAATGAACTTAAGCCAATGGAAAAGTTAACCTACAATGACCTAGTTTTTTTTATCTGAGCAAAATGTGGATGATGAAATAGACCTATTTCTGAGCTGAGACCTACGTACGGGACCGCGGACGAGAATACTTGTAAGGCTGGACTACTAACTTCCCAAGGACCCGGATGAGTACTCTTGCAAGTGAAATGACCTAGATATGAAGAAAGGAATGTTTTTGTGAACCCATTGATTAGCTCTGTTTTGAAATTTTGCTTCCGGTTTCTTGCAATTAAATATGGAAAGCATTAAAATCAGTTTAGAAAAGGTATTTTACCGAATCTGAGGTGCCTGATGAAATTTCTATGAAAAACAATAATGCTGAACTGGACATTAACCATAGTTATTTGGATCGCGAATCTTGAAATCGAGAAAAAAGTGATGAAAGTGTGGTTTCCTTGTGTGGGTTCATAAGGGTATGCTTATTGAATTGAAACAAACACAGAGTTCAAGAACTGTTTCAGTTTTATTCACTTAATAAGGCACACACAAAAATTTCTACTTCCTTCCTACCCCGCCTCTATACTATGACAAACCCACAATCAAAGCCCTGGCTTTTACCCCGTGGACTTTGCTAACTTAGTTTTATTAACTTTAAGTAGGGGTCATGAAGTTTCATGTTCCTGGGCATGTTAAAAGCCCTAAGATACTATGCAGATAGGCTGTTACATATGAACTTTGATGTTACCGAGCCCAAAATAATTTTGATAATCTTACTCAGAAGAATTTCAGTAAATTCACCCCTTTATTTCCTTAAAATGTGTCTCAGATCTATATGTTTTTAATCTAAAATCGATTAAGAGTAGGCTTCGGCGCCACCCGGACAAAATTGAAAATGTCCTACCAACTGAAAATGTTAATTGTATTCCGTGCGCTCATATGACCTTACACAGTTGCAAGCGCCGTAAAACACTTACCTTAAAAAAAACAACGTAAAATTTAAAAAAATTTTTTTGGGGGGTCCCTCTTCTTTTAATGAGATTGAGAACTATTGGACATGAATTATCTAAGAGAAATTTCAGTTATTTTGAAATACGTGTCAATGCTTTTTATTTGTTTACTGAACCATAACCCCTCCCAAACCCCCTCTCACATTTCTTATAATCAGGTCATTGTGAAGTGAGAACAGCACGACAAAGTAGGCAAAGATGATGAAACCAGAGACAGAAGATCCTGACTTGGCTGCTATTCATGGGGAAGCCAGTGATGAGACCAGTCTCATCAGCCGCTTGGTTCAGTCCGCTGATGGACACGACTATGTTGTCAATGTTGTTGTTCCTGAGGGTGAGTCAGATTCCATTGAGTCTGAGACTACTTTAGCTGTGGGAGATGTTCAAAGTCCGCATCCTGTGAATCAACCAGAAGTTGCTGCCCAGCCTGTGATGCTGGTGCGGTCGGTGGCTGAAGCCCAGCCTGTTGTCAAAGAGGTGGGTGTTTTTTGTTTTTAAAAAAATTATTGGTAAGTGTTTTACGGTGTTGGCAACTGCGTCCACTTGTTCATATGAGCGAATGGGGTAATTGTGTCAACAAGACCTGATTGAAACCGAAAAAAATACTGTGAGTGGTAAATTTAAAGCAAGAAGAAACTTACTTTTTTAATTCTAAACTTTGTTAGATATTCCAACGCATATTAAATTGATGTAACTTTCAGTGTTGATTTGTGTGTAGCAATAGCATTCTTACATATTTATACTTAAACTGACTGGCAAATGTCCTGGTCAGTAGGTTAAACACTTTTGTCCATTACGACAGGGCAAACTATCAGCTAATGATTAGTTGAATGAAATTAGAGAATGTGAAAAATTTGAGCTATAATTGGAATGTTGTTTTAATCTTCTGGGTGTTTGTTTGAACAGATCGTCTGCTTTCTGCGAATAAAATATTACTTTCATTTTTATTTGTTTCTTTGTCCATCTCCCTTTCCTTCTGTTGGTTCAAAATTCAATTGCGAAAACTGCTTTTTTGCTGATCATGTAAAATGTTAAATAAATCTTGCGAATGTACAGGCCCTGAAATGAGACTGACATTCAGATCTGAATTTTGTGCTCACAAAGTATAACTTAATTCTTTTATACAACTTTTCCTAAGTATTGTTAAGAATGAGTTGTTTAGATTATGCGTGGCTCTCAAAAATAGTGGCATTTCTTCCACAGAAATTTTGACTGGTCTACATGAGTGGGCTTAGAAAGATTGGCTCCGCAAAAAACGATCTGGATGGTTTAAAGCAATACATTCTTTGTTTAGAATAAATCCTGTGCATGTCATTGGAAAGCCTGAATATGATGAACAGTCTTGAGTGGCAGATAAAATGCTAGAAAACAATTATGGCATAGAGGAACTAATAGTCTTTAAAAAATGCTTTTCTTTTCAGGGACAGTTCCATATGGCATATTCATTGATTTTTTATGGTCCCTGATATTTCGTAGGAACCAAGTGACATAGAGTGGTGTGGACAGACTGATGCTGTTGAGACTGTTATTGAGACTGCTGAGGAAATGGTGAAAGAGGAGCCAATATTTCCGGTCACCTGGGGTTTGAATATCCCTACTGTTGAGCAGACAGGTCAGTTTGTGTGCTTATCTCTACTTTGTTATAATGATAAAATGATGTAGGATTCACTATTATATAAGAAGAAGACATGCCATTTGCTCAGTTAATATCGTGCTGGTTTGAATTCCCAGCAGGGCAGGATGCTCTGGAACTTAGGTTGTTTGGGGAGTTTTCAAGCCTTTGTGTCCTCTTGGCTTTGTTCTATTACAGATGAACTTCAAATTCTGAGGTTTCCTTCTACATTGTCGTTCAGCACCCATATTATCATTATAATAATCCTTCAATTTCTTTATTTTTGTTCTTCTTTTAATTGATATATGAGCCTTTTCCATTAGGTGGGTACCTAAAATATAGCACAGAGGGTTGGTGATAAATTTTTTAATACAGTAGTCTCCGCCTAAGATCCCACCACTTATGATCCCGGTTCGCTTATGATCCCGGTTCGCTTATGATCCCGCTGTTTTTAGAAAACATAATTTTTACTATACAAAAGTCACCCCTAAGATCACGGTCTGATTCACTCTGAAGGTCAACATTCGGCTAAGATCCCGCATTTCAGATCATAATTTGCAGAACAAAAACCCGGGCGGGACAGCCGATCAACCGAGAGTTAAAAGTTGAGATCAATAAACTGTCCGTCGCGTCAAAGATCAGCCGCTATCGTGAATGTGATCACGTACACGTTGTAAAACTCAATGAAGCGATATAATGTATGCCCCAGACGGGATCACACCGGGGTGTGAACTGACCAACACGTTTGTTTTCCCCACGCATCACGCTCACACCTGAGCTCTCCCCCTAAACTTACATCACTCGCTGGGTGGGTAGGACCTACACGTTCGCTCCAGGCGGGATCACATTGAACTGTGAACTCTTCCCTGACCATTGCTGAAGTTTTCTCTACTCCCGAATTTGTGAGACAGACTGAATTTTAATTGGTGTGTTCACAACGTAATTGTGTGTAACAACAAAGGCGGTGTGGGGGGGGGGACTCGGTCAGAGATGGAAAGCTATAAATTTTCGACAGGTAAGGGGGAGGGGCAACTGGATAAGCGTAGATCTTGAGACTCGTGATAGGATAAAAAGTGAAAATGGCACGCCTCATCCCACTATGCACAGTGATAGGTCATCAAGGTTAACCACTCTTTGCTCGTCATACGTCATAAACCCACCAAGGGATCATGTCAGTTCATTTTAAAGTGGTGGGAGACCATTGTACCGATTGTGAGCCTTAGCATGGGTCACCATAGATTCTTCCCTGGGTTCGTCGGTTAAGATCCCGGTTCGCCTAAGATCCCGCATTTCCTTGCTCCCGAGCACCGGGATCTTAGGTGGAGACTACTGTATTTCGTTTTTACTTGAATCTTTTTAATTCATGTATATCTCCTCCTACAAAAACATGTATTTGCAGACCTACAGACAGCGTGGTAAGCTGTGCAACTGGCGTTATGTAACATCAAGTCAAATTCTTTGGGACATAACTATGGTGACACATTTTTAAAAATTTGAACCCACAAAATTATTTTTATAATTTTCTTATTGCTTTAATTTTCAAACATAAGCATGAAGAGCATATAAAATGGTGAAGATCACAGAAAAAAGAAATTCTGAATGTTGTTGTGTTCGCATTTGTGTCATCATAGTTGTGTCCAAAAGAAATGAAAAATTTTCCATTTTCACATCTTAATTTCTTTTTTGAAAATTTTGACAAACAGATGCAGGAGATTCAGTTTGACTCATAATGCATACTAATGGTGAAAAAATGCCACTTCATTCACATTTTACTTTGACTCTCTTTAGAACATAACCTTGACACCCAATGGAATAGTTAACCAATCGTGCAGTGAACTTTTGCGAAAGTAAACAACTTGTGTTTCGCGTGCTCATATGACCTTATGCAGTTGCGAGCGCGGTAAAACCCTATACTACTACTAAATGTTTGTCATCATTTTGAAACGTATCGTCAATTTATATCAAATTTTCCCCTCTCGTTGAGGCCTTGCCAAGCACGCATGGTCGCATCTAGATCTACCACTACTTGACCATTGGAACGCAGTGCGATGTTAATCATAACTTGGTTTAAATTTTCTTAAATGGGAGAAAACATTTTTTGGACATAACAACTTTTTTTCTAACATAACATTTTAAGATTTGATGACGACATTAGAAAACTAATATGAATTCGTGTCATCCATCGTTATTCTTCTGGGCGGCTTGCGTCACGCTACAATACTCTTTGAATGGGTCAACAGGAACAATGCCCGTTCCTTCACCTCCATTATTTCTCATTTTGTGATTAGTTCTTTTGAGCAGAACAAATGACAGAGCACAAGGCATTACAGGATTTCCGTTTAGTGCAAAATTACTCACGATCACAACCTCGTATCAGTCGAGGCAGAGAATAAACATTGAATGATGCTATGCTCGTTCCAGGGTCCCAAAATGGCTGATAGAAAAGAAGTCAGGGGAAATCGAAGTACGACATGTTCGAAAATGAAAATCTAGAAGGCTCGCTGAGAAAAACAGCTACAGATGTCTTTATTCCTGATATAGCACCACAAATTATGTAGTTGTAGAAGTAAAAGTGCTGAAGGATGAGTTTCTCAGCAATTATTTCATTGCTGAACTTGACGAAAGAAAAAGTACAAAGTGGACGCGTCTCGTTTTGCATTCTTAAAATACATCGATTTCAGAACTAAAAATATTTGTAAGATTTATTCTGATGACCTGATCGCAATTTGCCTTCTCCCATAGCTGAAACATCATATTAAGCGCAACCTATACAAATTTCAAAGCCATAGCACCATTTTTAGTGGAATAGGAAAGGATTTTGTAAGGTATATATGAAGAAGCCTCCACCTATATGTCTTCTCTTGAATGCTGTTGACATTGTGTTCTCTCCCTGCTAGCCCTCAGTTTACTATTCCTTATTTCTTTTGTCTCATAATACTACTTACTTGGGACTACTTTGCTTTACATGTGCTTTGAAGATATTTTCTCCATCTATTTGGTGGTACAGATCCTCATCCTGTGTGCATGGTACAGTCGAGGAAGGAGAAAGTGAGGCAACCATTTAAATTGGCTGTGGCCTATAAAAAACAACGCAAGAAAAGTAAAAAGGCAGAACTGTTTACTAAAGTAAGAAAAATCTATCCCAAAGTTCAAGCAACTTTTCAGGAGGACACGGAGAGTATTTCAACGGAGGACTTCGACTGTAGCCAACCAAGTACTGAAAGTGAAATTAAGGTAAGAATGTTGAAATCGTAATTCTGTGACAGAAAACAAAGTTTTCAGCCCCTCTCTTCTTTCGGAATCTTATTGGAGGAAACATTGTTAAAATTTGAAGTGGAGTATGAAGAGGATAGATAGTTCGGGGGTAACTTCTGAGGCCACTGGTTTACATCATAACCATATAAAATATGATTCTTCTGGCCAGAAGAAAGCCAGTGGTGTATATATATATATATATATATATATATATATATATATATATATATATATATATATATATATATATATAAAATCTATTATCTATTTGTGGTGGCCGAATTTTGCTATTCAAAGGATTTTTAATGGCTGCATCGATCGACGTATGGTTTTCGCCAAAAGATTCTTGAAAATATTCTCCAGATCATGACGCCCTTGGTTTTTTTAGTTTTGCTGCAAAAGCTAAGTTTCTTTATTTCACCGATCGCTTTTGTAGGCCAACGCTTCTGTCTCTGTAATTTTAGCCGCCAGGTTTGTTTATTTCAAGTCGTACTTCCGTTCGATACTATCGCGCATTGTCGCACAATACTCTAGCCTTATTTTAAGTGTGCGACCCGTATAGATCTAGCCTCATGTTTTCTTTTTTTACTTGGTGCTAAATTCGACTGTGATCCTTTCGTTTGATGCCCATCATGGCTTTTTCTGGACTCCTTTGTCGAATGATTCCTTTTCTTGCTACTGAGAACAATCAACACGTAATATATAAAATTGCGTACATGTGGATGGTTGTTTTCTATAGCTGAAAAAACTACGGAACGTAAAACCCTGAAAAAATTACCGAAAGTAGTTGAAAGACCAAGCTAAGTTTCTATCAATTCAGTAAGTGCTTACATTCGCCTAAAAAATTTTTTTAAAAATGGAAAGCACTATCGGCCGTTTATGATTTTTCCCCGTTCATCATTTCAATGCAGTGTTCAAAGATTTGTTTTCCATGATATAAGAAATTGAGACTTCTGTTCACTTGCAGTGCGAACTGAACCCACAAAAAGACCTGACGATTGAATCCGTTCATCTAACGGGGTACCAAGCTTGTATATAGATATATATCTATATATATACACGCACACAAACAGTTCCGAGACCAAATGCAGCACATCCATTTTTTTCGATTTTCAGAAATTACTGTTTTTCACTTATGTAATGTATAGAGTTTCTGCAATGGACTTCTTGGGCCTGAACTGCGCCAGGTGACGAGAGCGGAACATTTTTACCATCGTATTATTGCCCCAAGTGACCTCAAAGTTTTAATAAATACTAAAGGGAGCAACTTATACTGGGCAATCAACTGTACTTTTGTGGGTCTCATGGGTCATGGGTGATTGGAGCCCTCTGATTTTTTTATTTTTTTTGCCTATGGATGAACCTTGATTGGATTAGCATGAGACATTATTTTTAACTTGAATTCCTTTTCCATCGTTTGTGCGCAACTTATGGTAGATGACGAGGAAATACACATTTTCCTTCGACTTAAGTTTCATGTATTTACAATAAAAAAATTAGTATTTTCCATGATCAGTGGCGTTTCCGTAGCCTAGTGGTTAAGCAACCGGACGTGTAATCATGAGATTGCAAGTTCGGGGTTTGAGCCTCAGCTCAGTCTGAAGTAATGTCCTTGGTAAAGGCATTTTATACGAATTTCACATTTGGCTAGGTCTTTTCAGCGATGGAGTTTAAACTCGGAGGTCCCACCTCTTGAATAATCTAACAGTGTTGATAGGGGCGTAAAACATATACAGTTTCACTATTTTTGCAATAATCGGTTCGTTACCTTATCTGAATCTACTGGGATTCTGGAGACTTATTATTTTTTCCCCTCAAAGTCTAATCTTTGGGGAGGATTCAGAGGAAAATCTTTATTTTTGGTCATGGAGGGGTTGGCAGGTCTGATACTAGTACTGTGCTTCACCATGATCATTGGGTTGCTTGTAAGGGACTGTTTCTACACAGAACAGAACACATTACTGAAAAAGATTATTTTTTTTCACAACTGGCTTTCTTTTACATAAGTGGCCATACCACAAAGTTTCTTTGTCCGGACTGCGGAAATATGCCCAGGTGAATTTATAAAATCTTCTTTCCTTGAAAAGAAAAGCTCCTTGCAAAAACCCCCCAAAAAACCCTTACAATACTTTTTTGGAAAATTTTTTTTCTGGAAAGGATATAACATTGATACTGAACTAAAGATCCAAAGTGAAAACCCTAATGTGGAATTTTTACATTTCTTTTCACAGGATCGTATTAAAAGAAAGACCCCTTTGGATGTTTCCCACTGCTTGGTTTGCAGTGCTACTTGTTTTCTGACCAAGAACAGAAAAATCCCCACCCTGCCATTATGCAAGAAGTGCAAAAAAGCATATTTCTACCAGATGGCGAGGATGATGATGGGAAAGTTTCCCAAAGTTTGTTCAAAAGGAGGTGAGTTTTGAAAAGCTGAATCTTTGTCCATTAGTAGTAGGTTATTTGCAAGGCTATTAGTTTAGATTAAGTTTGGGGTCCAGTTTGACTCTGCTAGGAGGTATAGTTATGAAAAATAACAAGCCCTCCATTATGGAGACTGATTAAAAGTGCTGGTCTTCAGACGTGCACAGTGGAACTCGGATTCATCGAGGGGAGATGGATTCCCCGTTTTTTCCCCCCCTTTAAAATCAATAAAAATAACCCGGATTCAACGAGCAATTAAATTAGCTAGCTCGGATTCAACGAGGTCACTTTCAGGGTGATCAGCCCCCGCTGACATGGCTTCGCTCTTTTTTCTACCACAACAAACCTTATCTATTCCTGGAAACCACCCATTGGACCTGCATCGTGAACCTCTATTCACTGAGTTGATTTCATACCAACACATGCGTTGTTGGCCCGCGTGTGTCGGGGTCGGATGGGCGGCCTGCACATGCATGATGTGTGACTGTGTGTGCTTGTGTCGGGGGGCACCAGCATTCCGGGCGTTGAATGTCGAAGATACAACAAACGCGTCAAGTCTTTTTTCTCCCCTGGCAACTGATCAATATTACAATGACTAGTCTAGACGTAGATCTACATAATGAATTGTGCGCTGGCCTATGTAATCTTAAGTTGCCGTATGCTAGGCTAGGCTCTACACAGCGACACAACCTTTTAGCAACACAACTTTTTGGCAAACAATCGAGATGACACAGGCGTGCATTTGAATGAAACTGTCTGTTTTTCTTGCACAGCTCATAATATGCAGGCATTTCAGGCACCACTTGTTACTTCTCTTTATACATTACTTGCTCAGTGCCTGTAATTATCTACACAAAACCTCACGTTTGCCATAACGAACACTCAGATTCAACTAGATTTTAGGTCAGTCAGGCCCAGCGACCTCGTTGAATCTTGAGTTCCACTGTATTGTGTTTTGTGTACACTAGAGTTAGACCATTATGTTTGTATGAGTAAAGAGAAACACATTGATACTAAAGGTCATTAGTGCTTGGAAAAAGTAAGATAGACAGAAACAACAGAGGAAGAGAAAAGAAGTAGGACCTACCAGTGGCACCCTCCAATCGCCCACAGATTTTTATGTGAGCATATTTAGTGCTTAAAATTGCAGAACAAGAGGGCACAGTACTCCTTTAGTTGATAGCAAACTTTTTATTTGTTAACTGGAATTGTATGAAAATTTTATTTTTGGTTAGCTTTCCTTTTGCCGTGCTGTAAGTTTTTAATGGAGGATGTATACTTTCTTCACAGATGCATTTGAAGTAGAAACAGTGTAGCCTCAACTTCTAACATTTTGCAATAGTGTTGGCAACCCCAGCTCAGACTCTTCCTGAAAGGATTTAAAAGTAAAATCTTTGCCTGTTTGAAGAATTTTTTTAGCTCCCAATTCCTTAAAAAGCTCAGCACATTGGTGTTAATTGATTTTGTTTCACAGAATATTTCACTGTTTCCTCTCTATTAAGGTATAAACCTTTTTTTTTTGTCCTGGGAGGAGATTACAAAGTTGTTTATGATTGTTCATGATAATTTGCCGTTTCATATCTATTTCGAGTCAGGCATACCTGGACAAACCTTCAAGGTGTAAATTTATGATGGTAGTATATTAATAGGAAAGGTGTAGTGAAACTGATTTGTTAATTGTATTTTGTTGTATGGTCAAAGCTGGGAGAGATGTTTGTAATGTGCAACATTTTTATTTGATTCTAAATAATGTTTTAAGTGAAAAAAAGTTTTGCAATCATTTACAGCCAAGTCTCATTGACTACTCTGTCTTTCTTTCCCATAAGAAAATTCCTTCAGTTCTTTATGATAAGGGTTTCTTTCTTTTCAGGGAATTGCAGAGTGGATTTTCGTTCTCCGGTCCAGTGTCCTAGTTGTCGGTTGATGGCATTCCAGCAGACAATTGCAAGAGAGCAGGAAGCTCACTATGCACAATCTGATGTCGTTGGTACCAGTACCAGTAAAAAGGCACGTGGAAAGCGGAGGTCTTCTGGGATGAGTGAGGAATCTGGAAGTTGTAGCAGCTCAAGTTATGAATGCATTCCACCCACCAAGCGTGCTATGTTAATACTGCATGCAGCAACGAGCCACCCCGTTGTTAAGGTAAGAAAGACATGGCTGACTTCACAGAGCTCAAGAGATGTTTGTGAAGTGGAAGAAGTTTCTTCACAGTTCATGAAGAGAAATTGTCTGCTGAAATGCAGCATAAGTCAAAAATGTAATCATGGCTCCCCTTTTCAGGCCAACTTAAGAGGTTCCTTCACCCTTTGGTTTTCTATCTTAAGGGGTATTTAAACCCTTGTTTTAGAAACTTAAAGGCTAAAAGTTAATATCTCATAATTTTATAGTAAGATTTTTTGCTTGCAAACTTATAACTCGCACGCACATTCGCACAGACACACATAGAGTGACCATGACTATGATTGAATGCTAACGATTTTTAATAAACTTAAGAAATAAATGAGTAATATTGACTAGAATTATAGTTTTGTCCATTTGGAGGGGGGAAGAGTGGTGGTGGTTGAGCAGTAGGGTCTATCGAAAATAAAATAAGAAGTCGACAAACCAAAAGGGGTCAACCGCGACTATAATACTCCAAGAAAAATAGACCTACCACTCTATGAAATCTAAAAGTCAGGATCTCAGTGGGGAAAAAAATTCGGACTTGGGGAAAAAAATCGGGATCAATGACAAATCACCTAGGTCGCTGCCAAGCTAACTTAAAAAAATTCCTGGGGTGTCGATCAATATATCCATGTATATATATTCCTTCTGCACGCATGCGTGTGTGTGGTATATGTGTGTGCGAGCGCGCACGCGTGTCTGTGTGTGTTTTATCATTATTTTTTAAAATCCTGAAGTATCATGTCAAGGTCTAGTCCAAGTGTTTTAAATGCCCCCCCCCCCCGATAAGTCCCGAAAGACGCTTCAACCAGTGTGCATGAACTTAAATTGACCCCGTAAATGGACAGTCACCGACACTCGCGAAACTCACATGCTGAAGTCGTGTCAAGTGGTGCGATTGCGCTATTGAAACAGTTTTACTGACAAGTCTTGATGACGGGCCCGACTAACCAGAACTCGGACAAAGCATGTTTTGGCGAAAGTGGATATTGAGAATGTCTTTCAGTCGGAACGCCAAATCAATACTGTAGTCCATTATAATGGAAAAAACACGAGTGAGCAAAGATCCAACACAACTTTTGGTGAGTCAACTACTAAATTTGACATAGACATTTAGGAAAATATTGCCTCGAATTTCTGCTGACAAAAAGTTTAACAAGTGCATCCCACGACAGAAAAGAAGGCAAGAGTAAGATTTTAGAAAAATCCGGCGCAACAAGCGGAACAAAAAAAAAAAAAAAAAGAAAAGAAAAGAAAAATCAGGGTACACGCAATCAAAATAGGGAAATTCGGGATGCTTGAGATTTAGAGCAGGGATGAGTAGCAGTTGGAAAATAAACTGATTCATTATTCTTCAGAGCCGTCCAAGGGTTCACATTCCGCTCTTTCCCCACTTTCGATGGTGGATAATTCATGTTTACTTATACTAGCGTGTTAAAGAAGGATGGGGGTAATCTCTCGTCACGGCAGGGGCAAACTCAAGGCACGACAATGGCAAATGTGAGGGACCAGAATGCGGGCGAAGCTTTTTTGCTGAGGCCAGTCGGTGTTGCCGGAAACTGCGCGCAGCTGATAAGTAGGTCAACTAGTCGACTTCTGTGATACAGAATGTGACTGTCATGCATGTGTGTGTTGTCAAATCATTGACTCGGCTTTGTGATAGAGAAGGGGGGAAAATGATGTTTGCCAGACGCACACCACCTACGTTTTAAAGTGTATGCAAACCCCCAAAATGAAATTATGAAGAGTAAAGCTCACGCACAACCAAAACTTAAAGGGGGTAGGTAATCTGCAGGTTTAATGCGTAATATACGCACATTTGTGCGTAAAGGGGAACCCTGGTAATGTAGCTTGAATTTTCTCGGTTGCCCTGTTGTATGTCTATATTAAGCAGATAAATCTTAATCTTGGGAGCTCTGTGCATAATTCAGTGACTGGATATAAGACCCTGATAAATGCCATATGTGGCAATTTGGTATTAGCCCAGAGTCATGCACCCAGCCATCAAATTGTGCTCTGCTCAGCAAGAATTGTAAAAAAAACCCAAACCCACAGCTAGTTGTGCTAATAGTAATAAAGACTGGAAAAGGAGTCACTTGTAAAGGACTTTGCTATGATGATAGAACCGTATATATCAACTCATCTCGCCTTTGCAATTGACAGTGACATAGAAATGTGAATTTAACTTTTGAGCATGTAGCAGGCTGCCTCTCTGTATGTCTCACCAGAGAACCATTGAGTGCTTGGCTAACAGGGTAACTGTGAAGTGGTGTTAGCTTTCAGTCAGATGGGGTAAAAGGTTATGACTTTCACTTCGGATTCATTTACGCTAGTAATTGAAGGCTGTGCTCAAGTATCTTGATACCATTATTGTCTGATTATCAAATTTTTGCTTACTTAAGATTCCTTTTCTGATTTTTTGGGTGTTTTTGGTTTTTGCACAATGCAGCATTCTTTTCTTTTTCAGCTGAAAAGACTGAGCGAAGAATGTCTCGAGAGTTACGGTGTGGCATTGGTGAGTATGATGGCGGGTGTGTCTGCTTTGCTATGTCTTCAGTTATGAGTAAAAAATTACACGTAACATTCCCTTGTAACAATTGAGCTGGTTTACAAATATAAAATTGTTGATCAGATCAAGATCCTTTTACTGCTATCAAAGTCCTTCGATGATCAGATTACTCAGCCTTCAAGTCCACAGCAATCTTTTTCTTTTGGTTTGAATTGCAAACGTGCGTATCAAAAGTGGCAGATCTTTTCTTGAATCTTAAGACTATTCATAATTTTATTGCAGAAGTTTAAGGTAACAAAATACTGCCCATTTGCTTGAATAAGCTTTTTATTCCCAACTGCAGTAAAGTTTCATCCATTTCCTTTAGTCTTTAGCACTTGATTTTTATGTAAACTATTCAGAACAGAAAAAGTTGCAGCTGTAACCATAGTGTTTCTGTGCTATAATAATAATAATTATAATCATGATAATAGATTTCACTTGTATGAGGTATTTTCCTTAAGAAAGTGCTCAGTGTTCTTTACAATAATACAAGGAACATGAGCTCAATACGGTTCTATTTATGATCATCAACCATGCCAAGGAAGGAAAACAACCCACCAGCCATCAAATGTATTCAATATTTAGTGCGAAAATCAATATTAAAACTGAAGAAAAGAGTTTAGTTTACAATATTCAGTCAAAAGGACAATGTCGCTTCACCGAACAGCGATTAAAATTATGCTTTTTTTTTTTTTACGTGAAGGGCAATAACCAGGTAATTGTTCAATTGAAAATCATATCCAGCATACTTTCCTTTTGTTGGGCACGGTCCTGGCGCTATGTCGGGCATATAATTGTGTGTGTGTGTGTGTGTGTGTGTGTGTGTGTGTAGGGGGTGATATGCCATTGAACCTTTTTCTTTTTGGAAAACCGCGTTTGTATTACATGATAAGGCGAATTTCAAAATGGTATTTTTTCCATTGTAGAGATGATTGCTTCTGCATTACCATTCTTAAATTTAAAAAAATGAAAAATGAAACCTCTATGACACACTTGATGCGGGGATAACGACCTGCTGAAAAAAATTCTAGATTTTAAGCAGTGTTGGAACCTTTCTTGGGGGAGTTTTTGTTTTTTGCTAGAGGAAAGTTGTCGCAAAAAAAAAAATTAGAAATAATTAAGAACTGCTCTATGAATACTCATTTTTTTGGGAGAATTTTGTCATCCCTACGTTGTTTGTCACTGCGCTTTCACATTTCTTGGAATGACCTTAGAAATTACTAGAACTGTGAAATAATGGTGATCGTTTTGTTTTTACTTTTCCCCAGCCCGATCCTTGTGATGAAGGTAAATTTGACTGTGATGAGGATATCAAGCTGAACGTGTATTTTGAGAGGCCTGTCAAGAGTGAGCCGTTTTCATCAACATTCTGGGGTCAACAAACGTCGAGTGATGATAATCAATATGGTTCACCTGTTAAAACAAGGACACCAAAGACTTCTGGCTCAGTTTCAATAAACAAGGGCTGCTCTCAGAAAAAAACTGACAAACAGACACAGAAAAGGAAGAAAACAGCGCCGAGAAGCAATGGTCGTGTAGCCCGGAAGAAAGCCAGTGAGGTAGTCAAAGTGTATGTTTTCGGTTGCGGCCACGCTTGCAGTGTATGCAACTCTGGTTCAGCGCAGGAGTGGTTGAGTCAAAGTGGCTACCACTCGGCATCACCAGTAGTTCCCTCCCTTGGTCAGGGACTGCTACAGGTGCAGGAAGATAGTAGCGTCCAGGGTGGCCGGCGTATGCCCTACATAATGAAACCACGCCCCAGTGTTTTGCCTATTCATGCCTCTAATCCCATGGAAGAACCAAGTGCTGTGCCTAACTCTAAGGCTCAGAAGCCCACTCTAGTACCGCCTTCAATGTGGTCACAGGCTCGCCAAAAGCTGCCCCATGTGTCAGTATCTATGTCTGGCGACAATCCAAAGTGTATTGATCCCGCACCATTGACACAACCTCCCCACATTTCCTGCTCATCTGCTGCCTCCGTTTCACTACAACAACAGACATTTAAAGGTGGTGTTTCAATGGTAAGACTTCCTTCCCTCGGAAACGAAAGTACCTCAATGATGACCACGTACCGCGAAGCCCTTCAAAAGCATCTAGACAAGGCATCAGTCTTACCAGTATATAAGCCAATCCCAGCACTCTCAGTGTCCTTAGGTTATGTTGGCACCCTAGACAAGGCTGCAGTTGTAAGCACTATTCCCATTCCACCCGTAAAAGCGCTCGAGAGCAAGCCCAGTACCAGTATGGTTACTCGTCCTGCTGTGATGAAGACTGTGTCCAATCGGTTTCGGAAATCGATCCCACATGCTGGTCAGAACGTTACCACTCGCACCAGCCAGGCAGACCTTGAGCATGCCTCCTTGTGCAACAGTCACTCTTCTGCCTCATCACCTTTGAACAGCCCTGTCACTCTACTGTCACCATCATCAGTGATCAAGCCTGGAAATAATGCCACAGTAATGCCACAACTTGGGTCTGGAGTACTTCAAATTCCCTCGATTGTTAACGTTTCCAATCAGAATATTTCAGTTGACAATGGTGAATCGAGCGGTGGAAAATATGTGCCGTTGTTGACCAGTACAGGGTCTCTGGTGTTAGTACCTGCAGATGGAAATAACAGCCCATCAGTAGTAAATCTTACCATTCCTGCTGTTGTGGGCCAACCTGTGCCTTCCACCAGTACTGCACAAACGGAGGCGAACTTAACAGGAATTAGAAATGTGAGTAACTCAGTGCCAGTGACTGCAGTCGCATCTCAAAGGACACCCGTTCCTGTTATTGGGTGTGGCACGCCCCTGAAGGATCCAGGGGTCACTTTCAAGTCTGCCATTGCAAAGTCAAACCCCACAATTGCGTCAGCTATCTCAAATCCTATTGTCGGGTCAAAGCTGACGTGTGTTACACCTCAGACGTCTGGCAAAAATACCCATCCACATTCGGAGAATACATTAGATTTGAAGAAAAATGCGGCTGTGAAAATCCTGAATTCTGAAATTCGTGTCCCTGATGCCTTGTCCACTTCTACTGGTCCACCAGCTGACCATTTGGTTAGCGCTGAACCCATTGCCATTAAGACTAACCTCATATCATCGGTTGGCAGTGGTCGTGTCAGTATTGACCCAAAGGTGTCTTCTGAGTCGGTTGATCGTTGTGTTCCGTCAATGACCACTAGTTTCAATCAGCAGCGTGGGGATGCTGTGTCTGGAAGTACAGTTGTTTCCATCCAGCCAACTATGGCCTTGGTTGACAGTGCCACTGCTCAGGCAGACCTTACAAGCTCAGGGACTTCTATGGTCACTGCATCTTTACAAGCTGGTGGTGGAATCCCTTCTTTTATATCTGTCCAGGCAACAACTGCTGTTGATAATAAAACCTCAAAGGTTGACCCTAATACTCGAGGGACCTATATACACACTGTGACCCCCCAGGTTAACCCAATGACCTCCGCAGATACCGCAAGTTCTCAGCTTGACCCTGCGGTGACCTCTGCCAAATGTATGATCTCTAACCTTGGAAAAATGACTCGGTCAAAGGTCCTATCGGCCATGGACCACAGTGTTCAACCAGTGACTTTAAGCGAGGCTGTGACCACTACTTCTCTTTTAACATCCGTGCCATCTGCACGACCAGTCGGTTGTTATCACTCAAAGACTCCAGCGAGTTGTGCCACTTCCAGGGATGGGTTGAGTCCTCCACAGGCTAGCAGCTCCACACTGGCAAAACTGGCAGCTCGTGTGGCCTCCACGGCTCACTGTTCTTCTGAACAAATGTCCACTTCATAAGCCAAACTTATATTATCTTGCTACATTCGTTTTTTTTGTTTTTTTTTGGTTGGTATTTATGAACAGAGTTGTTCAAGCTTTTTATTTCTTGACTCTTGAAACATATCAAGAGTGTGGAAGACCTTCCTACTAAGTCAACTTGGATGAAAAATGTACTTCAGTTTTATTAAGTGTAAATATTTCAGTCTCTTTATACAAAAAAGGAACCATTTAAGGTTTGTACCTTGCAAGTGCTTTCTTCTGATTTAGATTTAGGAATATATATTGGTATACATATATATATATATATATATATATAAATTTGTGTGTGTGTGTGTGTGTGTGTGTGTGTGTGTGTGTGTGTGTGTGTGTGTGTGTGTGTGTTTTTATATATTTGTGTGTTGTATGTGGGCTTTTACTTTTAGCTGTTTTGCTACTGATAAAGTGATATTTGGAAACCAAGAAATTGGCTTTCCTCTCTTTTCATATTTTTTCTAAATGCTGTGAGAGTAACTGGGTTATTGTATATATCAAAATGTATAGAGAAGGGAAACAATAGGGGCTTGTCAAAAATTGTACAAAATGATTTTTTTTTAAATGGCTGGTCTCCAAGAGTTCATTTCGAAATCTGAGATGCTCTAAAAATTGTAGAGTTGTTTAATTGTTAAGATTTTTGTCCTTTGTTGCAAAATGTCTTTTAAAACAAAGACAGTTCATTGAGCCATATATGGCTTTGTTGTCAAAATATACTGGTAACACAAACTTGCCCCTAAGGTTTTGTGAGATCGGGTCAATAATTGTGTGTTTGTTATCATTGGGTAGATTTATTTCTGTATCAAGCTTTTTGGACACTCCTGATACATGTGTACATGATTTTGTACAGAAATAAAAGAAATTTCCAATGATTACTTTTTATTAAATTTTATTGCAATCTCATTGGATTGGCTAGTACTGGGGATATTTCCCTCTATGAAAAATTAAGTAAATTTCAAAATTCTACAATGAATACACAGTGGAGTCTACTTAACTGAAATCTGTGGGACTGCTGGATTTTCTTTGGTTTAATAAAGGATTTTCGGTTTTGAGAGAGATGATTGCTGGCGCTATAGAGTTGGGAATGCCATGCTTGGGGCAAATTTCTTTTTTTAAAGGCTTTTTAGCTTGTCTACATCCTTCAGTAATACAATGAAGTCCACTTATAATGAGTCCTGAAATAACGAGAAGTCTGTCATAAAGACACTATTCTAAATCCCCGTTTTTTCTCTTCTTTATCTTTGTAGATAAAATACTGCTATAGCGCAATGAGACAACACGCGAGTCGGTTATAGAGGAATATTGCTGCTGTTGTGTACAGCGCATAGGCAAATAATACATGTAAAACATCTCCAGTTGAAAAACTTGGTGGTGATCTAGCAAAACAAAGAACGGGAGAGCCCATGTACCAACAATGAATGCTGGAGCAAATGAGTGGGGAGGGTGTGGCATGCGCTGACAAGTAGAACACATCGCGTGAAAGGCTAGCCTTGTCCAGATCATCTAGGCCTACCATGCTTCCCATTTCTCCAATGCGGGTGATGGAGAGGTCACAATGTTGTGATAGATGGAGCGTCTGTGTGCAAGCAGATTTTTAGCGTTTTAACAATTTTAATTAAAAATATTGACCATAATCAGGCAGAGCAGTGAGCTGTGGAGAAAAAAACAACTTCTTCCGCGTGCTCATATAACCTCGTGCAGTTGCGAGCGCCGTAAAACCACTTACTAAACTAAGAAAAGGAGACGGAACGCACCACAGGGTGTGATGGAGTGGCGGACGACAAGCGGGTGAGTTAGCCCAGAGCCCTTTCTATCTGGTTGTCAACGCCGAGCTGTCAACATCGCTAGAGCTAGAGAAAGAAACCTGATTCGATTTTTGATCAAGTAAGACCAAGAAGTCATGTTGAACAAAATCATCATCAGAGGAGATTTAAAAAAAAAGAAATAACACCAAACTCAGATTAGGCCTACCTTATTATCTCCCTTGAATTTATTTTATTACTGGATCGAGTAACGAGAATCCTGACTATAACTAACGAATATTTCGCACCAGTCCCAGGGCTGCTTAAATCTACCGATTTTTCTGGTAGATAAAGATTTTAGGCTTGTTCTACCGCCATACCGATATGGTATCACACACACACACAAACACAATCAAATTCAAGCTTTCATGCAAGAAAAGCATGCAAAAGGATAGACTGACAGACATGCATCCACAATGTAGTAGGTACCCCAAACCCCCGCCTCTGCGCAGTTGAAAGCGTGTTGGAAGCTCAAGATTTGACCATTTTTAATCAACCATAACTCATCTCTTTTGACACCAATCATCACCCCGTTTCGAACCAAGTCAGTACAATTGTTGTTTTTACTACATTATATAGTATAAAGCATAAAATCAAGTTTTGTTGTTGAAGATTCCAGATTCACATTGTTCTAGTTCTTCTAGTGCATGGGGGTCACCAAATGTTTTTCAAAGTTGGGCGGATAACCAAGAGGATGCTGAGCGCGGGCTGGTTAAGTAATTATTTTGGTGCTGTAGGGTTCTACTAGTTCTAGTTCTACTTGTTTTCTTAGCCATGTCTCCTTTCGCAAAGGCGAGGTCTGGTGATGATCTCGTCTTCCAACATCAAGAGTAGAAAGTGGGTAGATCTTCTGGATCATTCAGCAGGATCTTGTTGCTTTCTGTTAGCCAATCCTCTACCTTGTCCTTTCGATCATTTTCTGCATAGCCCCAGCAGGTCGAGTGGCTGTTGAAGTCTCCAAATGCCAGGCAGTAAGCAGTTTTCAGTTGGTGAATTCATCATCTGCAGTGACATGTCTTTGTCCTGGGGACAGGAGAGGTTAAAGGTGTTGAGGGTAGTGTGTTGTCGTCAATTGTAATGTTTATACTCCTTTGATCTTAGATTGATGGAGTGTTTCTATTTTTTAAAATTCATCGCAGGTATGATCAACACCTCGCCCTTGCTCCTCCCTTCACTGTCCATCTTGAAGGTTTCCTAGCCTCTTGCTGTAAACCTGCCTTTTGTATTCATCAGAATTTCATGAAGACAGCCAACATCAATTTTGTCCTTGTGTAGTCTCTATGAGTGGAATTCTTTATGTGTGGTAGACTCTCTCTGTGCTCCATTGTAGAATTTTTAGTGGACTGGTGTCCTCGCTTTACATCCGGTGGTCACCTCCCTCTGACCACCGGTCACTGTGGATGGGCCCCTCTTCTGTTTTATGACAGAAATACGCGTATATGCCAGACATGAAAATTTACAGGAGAGGCACCCCCCCCCCTAACTTTGTGTGTGTGTTTCAACCTAAAATTTGGTCGATATGATTAATTTATGTCAAGGACTCAATATTGATTGGCCAGTATAACTTTAGTTTTACATGCAATTTAGTACATTAGTTTAAGAAGAGGTTTTACAGCGCTCACAACAGCATAAGGTCATATGAGCGCCAAGGGATGGATGTCAACAGAGAAGTGCTTACAGGGAACCAGACTTACTCTGCTCACCTTTCTAGCTTCAACAGCACAAAGTCTGCTTCGACTATCAAGGCACACCGGAAATAGCGGGTCCACAAGAGTGTGACATACATACTTGTACAATAGAAGCAGAGGATAATGACGATAGTAAGAATTAGGAAAGAAAAGGCAGCAGTTTCCTGTTGTAGTTCAGGCACAGATATATATGAGCATGACATTGTTGGACCAGCCCATTTACAATTCTATTGTGCATTAGATTAATTAGAACGAGAAATGTCCCCCCTTTGGGAATGGTCTAAAGACACTTCAGTCAGTGGCACTGCCCCGGGGGTTAACTTTTGTTTGTGGTACTGGTATACAGTATACAGTGTTACCGATACCGATAGTTTATGGAGTAGGCTAATTGGTCAAAATTTCTTTTGTCATCAGAATCAAAATCTAATTAGGTGACAAGACGTTCATTTTCAAAATCCCCAAACTCACTTAGTTCTAATTATACAGCCATAAAAATAAGACCAAGATAGAAAGATGCGCTATAAAAGAAGGTAAAGTAGGACTTGTCAGTGATGCCCTCCAACTCGAACCACCAGCGCCTTTATGTTTGTGATTATTTGGAAGCCTAAAATAATACTAATACATACTACAACATGTATAGGGAGGCGGCCATTCCATGGTCCATCTGTTGATATTGGGTGATTCATTCCATATTATTTCCTCACCTTCGCCTGTAATGTAACAAAGAGGTTAATACAAATGTAATACAAGAGCTTGCTGCAGTGGTGTCACACATGTCAGACGTGGGGGCCTCCCACCCTCATTGGTATGGCCGGCATGCCCCCATTTACGTAAACAATCTGACCCCCCACCCCGTTCCCCACGAGCTCCAGTATATTAAACACCACCATGCCCCCCTATTTCACTTTCAGTGCAAGCTTGTAGGTTTTCTCTTAAGACCCCCGAGATGTCTCTTATGGTTCATCATCATCATCATCATCATCATCATCATCATCATCATCATCATCATCAGGTACTCAAAGTGGCAAGCTGTCCCCTTCACGATGGGGAGTACTGTTCTCAACGAAGACAGCCACAACCAATGGGGAAGCTCTACAGCCGACATCATGGGGTAAGGAGTCGCTCAAGAAAGTATATCCAGATTTGTTTGTGAAACGCAAGATGGATTATGCTGCCCCAGCGTGGCAGCCTTGGTTGAGTGAGACTAGTGCAAAGGCCCAGATCAGAATACAAAACAAAGCCCTCCGACTTGTATCAGGTCAGCAGAAAACAACACCAACAGAAGCGCTACGCTATGAGACCAGAACTGAGCACTACACCACCTATACAAAAAGAACATGCCTCAATTCTGTAGAGATGGCCAAGAGATAAACAGACAACCATCCTAGAAAGAAAGCCCTTGATCAAGCAGTCAAGCCTAAAAACAGCAGGAAAAGATGGTTTCGGATGGGCACCGATCTAGCAGACCACCTCCCCCCTGATACAAAATCGATGGCCGATCAATCTGGTGAGAGCTTGTCCATGGGAGACCAATGGCGAAATCGAAATTCGGAGAGAACTGAGAGGAGTAAAATGACAAGGCGATGATCCTGTAAAGGCACGTGAAGCAGCTGAGGATGTGATCGAAGAGGTTGATGCGGATGTGACAATTTTCACCGATGGATCGGCTGTCGCAGGATACCGCGAAGGTGGAGCAGCAGCAGTGGTGATAATGAATGATGAACCACCACGAACAGAAATGATTAAAACTAAAGGTGCATTCCTTGCATCATCTTATGACGAGGAATGCCAGGCAATGATGTCTGCTGCATAATGGATTGCTGAAAATTCCCACAGTAGGACCAATGTGCTGATCTTGACTGACAGTCAGTCCCTCTGCAAGGGGCTGCTGGGCAACAGCTCGGACATGAATGATTTGCGCCTTAAGTTCAGTGAAGCCAGAGCCACAATAAAAATCCGGTGGATTCCAAGCCATGTTGGAATAGAAGGAAATGAGGCAGCAGACCAAGCTGCTAATGAAGCCAGAGATTGAAGGAGACAGACGACCAACAACATACAGAGGAGTCGTTCCAATGATCAAGAGGAAAATCAGAGACCCACCATGTAGAACTAAGTACCAGCACTTGGAAGATGTGTATTCTGGGTACTCCTATAAGCGGGAACTATCACATGTCGCTGGGACCAGGTTGAGCTAGCGAGACTGCGGTCGGACCATCATTGGAGTTTTAGATGGTATAGGAATTTTGTAAATAAAGAGCTCAGCCCATATTGCCGAAGATGCGCCATGAAAAGCAGGATGTCAACCATAGGTTTGAATGTCCAGGAACAATGGCAATTCGAATGAAGTTATTTGGACGAGTGGGGGCGCCGCTAAGCATGTGG